CTTCTGATCTATTAAACCTGAACAATTCATTACATCCTCAATCAACACTAAAGTCATTGTAGATTAAGCATGGTGCTGTTCTGTTATAACTTGTAAAAAACTTAAAAAATATGGCAACAACACACACATCCACAGGTGCTGGATAAACAGAATATAGCATGCATAGAAAATCCACACACCTAGAGGCTCCTGTTAAAGTATTAACCTTTATTATTCATTATTATCCTTTATTAATCCTTTCACAGAAGATTTAGGGGTAAAGGGTTTCCTCCTTTTTTAAAACGTTCAGTTATAAGCTGTGATCAAACACTGCAGCCCTGTTCCATGCTGAGCACAAAAAAAACCTTGAGACCAATAAAATCTGAGACAGACTGAAGAGAGGGATCATCTGCTCTATAACCTGAGACCACCGCTGAGGACTGACTGGCGTCCCCAGCTGGAAGGTGTTTAGACGGGATCATGTCCTTGTGTTGACAGGAGGGGTCAACAGTCAGCGTCACTTAAGGACAGATTATTGACCGTTTCTCCAGTATGCACGTCTGCGATAAAGGAAGTTTCCAAAGCTGTCACAATATGTTTGTGCAAAAGGCTTGGAATAGATGAATAAAGCATCAGAATAAAAAAATACAAGGAGATGGAGCTAAGGATGGACAGTTGTGTCACAACAGACCGATAGTATTTCAAATAGACTTTAAAGAGAAGCACGGAGACGGCGAGGCCTCTCAATAAAAAGACCATTAGAGCTTCGTGCTGTAGCAGATGAATCAGAAACATGATGGAAACCCAATGAAAGTGATGTCTACTCACAATGAGTTTACAAATCATCTCACAGCTGATCTGCCTCTGCCCTTATTTCTGCAGGAACACATCGTGTGCTGATTGGTTCAGCTCCCTGCATGAACCCCTTATATGGACTGTTGTCACACTGAACTGCCATGTTTGTGCACTACAACTTCTTTGATTTTGCAAAGCTAGTTGATGTTAATGAAAAATAATGAATTTGCCAAGAGGCTTGGATTACTGAGCCAGAGTAAAAAAAAAAAAAAAAAAAAAAAAAAAAAAAAAGAACTCAACTAAAGATTTAGATTTTATGAAATGACAAGAAGAAAATGTTCTGGTCACAAAACTGTTGCCAGGACATTAACTTTCTGAAACCACTGCTCATACACATCGCTCATTCATTAGCATGTATAACAATACCCCACACTGAACCATTCAGGTTCTCCTCATTCCCCAGCAGTTCTTTCTCTGTGAGACATGTGAGATGGTAAAGAAAAACAATTCCAGTCCAGGATTTAGAGCAGCAGCTCATCGCTTTTTGTTCTTGATGTAATGCCTTCATTCTTCACTGAGACAGCGGCGCATGTAGCCAAAGATTTCATGAACAATAGGAAAACTCAGATGGATGATTCAGGACCGAGTGAGAGCAGGCAGAGACGATGGAAGGGTTTCAAGTTTGAGCGGTCGGACTACAAGAACCAGTGGACAACACTTTTTCTAGCTGCAGTGTCACACATGACTAACGGACCGGCTTCATGAGGCTTGTTCAATAGTCAAGCATGTGTCATCAACAAATTCTCATTTGCAAACATGCAGTGATAAATCCAAAACAAAAAACTGTATCCGGGATGTTCCAGCAGAAGGGGTTGGCATCAGAATGGGTGTTGGGAGGAAGAGGAGATGAAGGGGAGAAGCTCATCCATCTCACTGGGTTTGAGCAAACAGACATCACTTCAGGGGAGTTTCCCAGAGTTCTTTTGCAGACAGGCTAAGGCGGGATTAGGCTCTGCAGGCAGAGCATGCTGTCCGCTCTCTAAATCTGCCTGTCAGTCTTTCTATCAATCATTCTGTTTGCTCCAACTGTCACTTCTCAAGTCATGACTCATGCAAAGATCAGTAAGTATGTGACGTTGCTTAGTTCAAGACATCCTGCAAATGATCACTTGTGGGAAACACTAGAAATATGATTCGCCAAAGACAGATGAAGACGTTGAAGAAATGTGGACACCCAATCCAACTGTGGGGTCATAGGAAAGTTTAACTGACGGTTTTCACATTGAGGTTGTGACATGTAAAAACTATAAATCTGTGAAATAATGAAATAAGTGTGTGGTTTTTAATGGCAATTGCTGGGGCACCATCAAGTAATTCATATTAAAAAGTAAAAGAAAATGCACAAAATAAAGTTTGTTGTTAGATTTTAGGCTACAGCAGCACCATGCTATCAAAAACATGTTCTTCATGCTGCTGCTCAACAACTGAGGAAAAAGTGTCTATTTCAAGTGCACATGTTATGTTTTGGGGTCTTTGCTTTAGTGTCATGTTTATTTAACGCATTTAAATGGTCTGACTAAGTCCATGACTAATTATTCACTTTCAATATCTGACACGATTGTTACCATGGCTGCCGCTGTGTTTACAACTGATCATGAATTAAGGGGGCGTTACATTGCGAACATGCACTTTTAGCAGCTGACCAATAACAACAGACTGAGGTTGTGAACAGCAAGGATGTGAAGCATGGAAAACTATTCTACTAGAGCCGCAATTGAAAATCTGAACCTAACTGATGAACATTTATAACAAACATAGCTGCAAACAGGAGACAATTAACAGCAGCACATACAATGCAGTAGATTGCAAACATGTACCCATCTCCTACTCCTACTGAACAATGATGATCATTACTGAAGAAAGCAGATTTGTCCAACTTCCTGTTTGTACCATGGACTTCAGCCTTGTCACAGCAACATGGTCTGAAATTAATTACTTGAGTTTTGGCGACCGAACTGTGGGAACTTGTAAGTCTATTCAACTGTCTGGCACTATGACTCACAGGCAACTGAATTATTGTACATAATGTGTGCACTCACAGGACATGCTTATCAACGAGAACTTCCTGCTCAACCTTTCATTTGAATATGCAACCCTGTGTTTATTCTTGCACAAAAAATCCCAAAAGCATAGTAAGTGATGGTAAACACAATTTTAAACAATAAATGGGACAGACTATGACATTTAATGTTTAACATTTTCTTTTGTGATGTTATGGGAATAGGGTTAGTTAGATGAATATTATCTGGACAAGGTTTACCAAGGCCCTCAGACTTGAAACCTCACTGTATGCATATATTTTGTATTATAATATTATAAAAATAGTAATAAACTTTTATATTTAAACCAATTCCACAAAATCGGACCAAACAAGAGAATTGACTTCATGAAGTCACCTTGTCAAATGGATTGGTGAATGGAAATCCTAGATAACGCAGTAAAATCCAAATACTTCTGAGTTGAAAAATGACACTTTCTGACAACTTAATTAGGAAAACAGTGCTAATGCTGTGAATGGCATCAACCCAAAACAACCTAAATTCTTCATGTCATAGATTCCACAAGGTTTTGCAAACTTTCCTTTGAGATTCTTCTCCATGTTGACATGAATGCATCGCTTCATTTCTGCAGATTTGTCAGCTGCACATTCACATGCTGCCAATCTCACGTGGGAACCAGAAGAAGTGGAAGCTGACATGATCTTCTGCTGTTGAAGACCATCTGCCTCAAGCTGTTGTGCATTCAGATTCTTCTCTGCACAGCACAGTTGTAAAAAGTGATTATCTGAGTTACTGTAGCCTTTCTGTCAGCTCCGACCCATCTGGTCATTCTCCTTTGAACCGTTTTATCTGTGAGGCATTTCTGTCTGCGGAGCTGCTTCTCACTGGATGCATTTTTTTTAACTATCCTCAGTGAGCTGTGTTGCAGTGCGTGCAAATCCCAGTAGGTCAGCAGTTGCAGAAATACTCAAACTGCCAATCTGGCACCAACAATTCTGCCACAGTCGAAGTCACAGTGAACGCATTTTCCCCTTGATGTTACATTCGCTGTGAACATGAACTGGAGCTCTTGACCCGTTTCTGAACGATTTCAGTCATTTCTCTGCTGCCACATGACTGGTGGATTGATTAACAGCATGAATGAATAGGTTTAAAGGTGTTCATAATAACATTATCCATGAGCGTTTATGAAAGGGTTCAAAAAGTGACTCCAGTCAAAAAGGGGCCAGTGTTGGACTGTTGAAACTGAATCAATTTGCCTAAAGTACTATTTTGGAGTTTGGGGTAGAAAAGTTTTGAACATTTGTGAGAACAGCATGCACTTTTTAATCTTTTGATTCGAGATCCCAGGAAATAAAAGACAGTCGCTGATAAGGTTCTGGAAGAACTTGTCATGACCAAAGAATGAGCTGTCTGCATGTCTTGGCCTTATCGCTTATCAATTTTACCACCAAACTGTTCTTTGAGCTGCCACAGCCTATTGCAACTATAAGAGAGACATAAAACAAAGCACATAAACACAACAGGGTGCCAACAAACTTTCAGTGCTTTCCTTCACGAAACAATGGAGCAACTCCTGAAGCCTTCATTATATCACATGCTGGAGTCATAAACTCCCATGAATTTTCTATGTGTCAGCGTGTGAGTGCATGAGATATTGAAGAGCAGGACGGCCGTATTGTAGCAGACCTCTCCCTGAACTCAGTCGTCTCTCTGCAGGCATGTTCGCTGACAGCTGAGGCTGGCAGGGGTTCTGCCCTGCCGGCCCATTCATTAGCTCCTCCGCAGCATGCTCCCAAAGCTGTTCCGCTCGCAGACGCCAAATAATCCAGCCAATCCTTCCAACGCACGCACAGGGATCTCGTACTCATGGAGGCATTACTCCTTTCGGTCATTCAAACAACTTGCTTCTGCGTCAGTGCCATAAACTGTACATACAAATGGTTGATGCATCTCTTCTTTCTCTTGTTGAACAAAACTGAAAAAATATATGGGTGCCGCCATCTTAAACTGTTGGCGTCATGTGACGTAAGAGTCGGTGTAGTAGTGATCATGGTGTGAAGCAGTATCAAGTTCCAAATGCAAGTCAGTCTCAGTCAGTATCATCAAATAACTGTTTAAAACAAGAAGAATGAGTACATTTAAATTCACTACATCAGTGTGATGAGAACTACCGGCGATGACAGAACCCACATTTAAAAAATAACATAAAAAACATATAGCGACATAGAGAAGGTGTGGTTTATAACCTTAGGTCCAGCCAACAGAGGTGATTAAGACGCTTTGGCTTCACTTTTGTGCCGTCATGTCGTCCATCTTTATATTTACGGTCTATGATCTAAACAAACAACTTTGTCAACATCTGTCGATTCTGCCATTTTATTACAAACACATGTTCAATTTCCAAACACAGTAGAAAAGACAACTCAATATCAATAATAGTAAATGGCGGTGATGTAAATGTATCATACGGACTATGATATACAAAGTTCGTGTTTAAGTTGATAAATTGGTTTAATTTACACTTTGAGTGCCTGCTAACATGTCAGAGTCATTTTATGAAGTACTCTGACTGGGTAAGATTAAGAGCTACTACAGTTATTGCTCCTGTAATATTTTGCATTGTATTGAATACAAAGTCCAGTACTGCATTCAGGAAGTATAAATAGGATAATCTGTTAAGACTTTTGTTATGTACAACATAATTACAACAAGAAATGTTCAAATATCCCAATAAGTGATAGTTAACATAGATTATCACAGTAAATACGGTTCTATTCAAAACCTTCACAAAAATCCACAGTACACCAGCATTTTCATGGTATAAAAATAAGTTACAAATCTGCATAAATATTTTACACAAAACAGTTATAAAAGATGCTGCATCTTCTGACAAACGTACACAAAACTGCTTTTAACACCATTGGGTATAAAGAATATTTTCAGCTTTTTAAAAACATTCATATAAGTTTTTGATGAACACAAAGTTTTCTTTCAAAATTATTAGTCCCATTTTACCACCACACTCGGCTACAACCATGTTTCATATACACAAAATTTAAAAAAAGGAGAAGTCCCTTTTATCGCCTCTTCACTTCTCCCGTTCAGCAGAGACAGATGAAGAGTGTCCCATCCCTTACAGATAAATCTCCTATGCACAAGGATTTCCCTTTAAGTATCGAGTCCACAGGTGACTCCTCACAGGCTGAGCACAAAGACAGGAGAGAAAGACAGAGAGGGAGAGAATGAGTTGTTCTAAGTGTGTCAGAGGGGAGATTACAGTATGAGAAATGGGCTTTATCCACAATGAACTGATTTCCTTTGCAGACACATTACACTTAGAGCTTTTGCTGCGCTTGAACTACTGAGGTCAATCAAGGAAATAATGAACAGAGGCAAAAAATGGCCTCATGTTCGAGCGAGACTATGAAATGCCAAGGGTCGTGGCTTCGGATCAGCTCGTTTCTCAGTTTGCTGTCTTTACAGTAAACAGCAGCGGTGAAACTGTGGGTGACAAATAATCAGCTATGATACAGTTTCACCACAGGAGAGCCAGAGCCACAGGTAATTCTGCAGACGTGCAAACTTTACCATATTATCAATGCATCAGCAGTGTTTGATATAGGTTACAGCAAAAGAATATTGAAAATGTAAATGTATGTTACTACAGCAGAGACACGTGACTTTTACAGTCGAGTTAACAAACAAGGAGGCGGCAGCAGCAGCTGTGTTGTGTGGATACACATTAAAACACCACTGTCATCTTCAAAAGATGTGCATGGATGCACTGATGTTGTCACATTAATGCTTCTTTGTTTATGCACCAGCCTCGTCTTCCTGTACATCTGACTTCACTGCTGCAAACTATGTCACTACTGCCTTTGTTAAACTAACAAGAAGTAAAACATGTAAACTTCTGTTCTTCATATACAATAGTTGCTATGATTAGACTTATTTTATTCTAATACACATACTTCATGGATACCTATTATTTTCTCAAATGCACACTTATTTTACACTCATTTGATTCTTATATACAACTACATATACAAATAAAATATGTATATATAGTTGTAATATAATACAGTATGATTTGCACGATAGTTTGTTTCTGGGTTCTGTTACTTGTTCAGCATCTACTTGAAATTCTGTTTTGTTGTTGAATGTGTTTACATCAATAACCAGGTCAAATCACTTCTTCGTTTATTGTCATTGATTGTATGATTCTAATTGTTAGTCACTATATGAAGCCAAACTCACACTATGGTACTGTGTGTTGAATATATAGATGTAAATAAATCTGTAAGAATTAGTCAATACTCTAAGATTTAAGAGTATTTGTATGAGCTGGTTCAGCTTACCTGCACTTCAGCCGCTTTTGAGGAAGTGCTCTGAAAACAGAAAAAAAAGTGTGAGGCCACCGTGTAAAGAACATCTCTACAAAACTTTTCAGACACGTTCAGTCCGGAGAATTGGGTCTTTTCACACATTCTCTGCACAGACACAAACAGCATCAAATCCTCCGCGTTATTCAGACGAGGGGTGGAGCAGAGAGAGGCAGGAAGTGACGTATTAACTCTGCTGCGGAGATCACGTGATTTTCTTTACAACACACAGACACCAGCGTCAGCTCTTATCACCGCAAACTCTCTTGACATCTTCGTCGGTGTCTTCAATGTATACGTCACCGCTTTTTTACTGGGAGATATTTGTTGTCTTTTTGTTTGCTTTTTCGTATTTGCGGGGGATCCCCTGCTCACACACCAAATTCTCCTGAATTTCTACGGACTTTACACGGAGGCCAGGGGGAAAAGTCTGCAGATAATCTGGAGCCTTTTCTCAGACACTTGCGGTCACATATGCACTTCCTCTGGAGAGTTAAGTGCACGTCTGAAAGCAGCTTATGTATGATATGTGTTATCCAATGTGATCATGTGTTGGAGCTGATTTGCTGATGTGATGTCACAGGCACCAGTCTCTTCGTTTGTTTGGGGATTTCATGCATTAGGACAACCTTGACATGAATCAGCTGAGCGCTGATGGTTATATTCAACTATGAAACCAGAGTCCAGCAGCAGCCCTCGAAGTTACTGAGCCTTCAGGTCTAATTAAAATCAGTCAGCCTGCGTGATCGGCACACTCGTTTCCCACATATCTCCAGTAAGATGACCGCTGTTATTTTAGGCACATTGTTCTTCTTTCAGGATTCATTTTCAGACTTTTATGGTGTACCATAAAGCTAACCTTGTTTGGTCTTCTTCGTGGTAAGTGTACTAATTCTTGCAGAGTCGCCGAACATTTTAAATAATAATTTAGCTGATGTCTGGTGGAATTTGATGCTTCTGTTCTCATATCATTTATCAGCTAATCAAATTTACACTGGTGAACTGCAATTTCAATCTTTCTCAAGTGAAACAGTCTGTAATACTTAAATAAGTGGGCCTCTTTCTTATGATTGTTTGTGATTTCTGACAAACCAAAACAGCTACAAGATGTGGATACTGGCAAAACATTGACATCCTTTATCAGATTGTACAGTTGGCAATGTTTGCATCTTCATACACAGACAAAAAAACCCACAAAAAAAAGTGTTAAAGCTGCACTTGTATGTTACTAGATTGCTTTGGTGCCACCTGGTGGAAGAAGACATTGCTACTCACACACAGACACATACACACAAACAGACTGACACACAGACACATCCACATTCTCTCTCACAAACAGAAGCAAAAGCTTCTTTCTTTCGCTGCAGTTTTTTCAGAAATCAATGGTTTTGAAGGTTAAATGAAATTTACAGATGAGAAACGTGTTCGGCTCAGACTAAATGGATCTACAGCAGTGCATTGTGTGTTTTATGCGTGTATCTGCACAAAAAACACCACTACACACTCACCTATAGATGTTTGGGTCCAGCAGCATGGCTGTGTCCTGCGGTAACTGGGATAAGTGCACCACTTTGGTCTTCAGCTGACATCGCTCCGTTTCATTCACCCACACGTCAGGTAGGCTGCAGGACAACACACAGAGAATGTGGTCAGGGTGTGAGCTCTGACAAGAGCGATGGACAAAGAGCACATACATTTCTATAAGTAACATAGCCTTGACCAAAGCAATGGGACTTACACATGTACACACAGGTAAGCAGACCTTCACAGACACACAAAGGACAAAGCCTTGTGTCCATGATGTCAGTTATCCAGTACACTACACCTTCATGGTTAGTTACTGTGTGCTTACAGTAGATATCAAAAGTGGGACATGTGAAGGACTGTGTGTGCCTCGGTGTGAACATGTATGTGAGAATATTTTGGACTGCATTTAATATTATCTAATATAAAAACATTAAAACAGGGAACATTAAAATCAGAACAACCTGATTTTTTTTTAATGGGACAACGCGGTGATAGCTTTAGAGTGACACACTAACACAGCCACACGTGTATGTGATGTACTGTACTGCTCAGCTGCATTTACTGTACCCCACAGCAGTGTGATCCCTTGTGAAAGAGGGAGCGTGCGAGCACTGGCGTGGTAAGTCAAGGTGCAGGAGAAGGAAACAAAGAGCTTTGCAAGCTGACTGCACCTCCCCTCCCTCCTGCAGCCGCCCCTGTCTCCACCCCCAGCATTCCCCCGTCACAATGTGCGTCATCATAGGAGCCCCAAGAGATGCAGATACATACGCACACTTACACACACTGCAAGCAGCAGTTGGCCAAGCAGGCAGACACCAAGCCAAAATCCCACATTCACATGCCTAGTCAGCCCATTAAGTAGACCATCTGCAGGTAGTACCTCACGTGCAGCACATTCAGCGCAACTGGGTAACTGGGTGCAGGCAATGATGGAGAACAAAAGAGGGGGAGTAATAGAAAGCTGACAAATGAAGGACAGGAAAGGAGGTATGGGGGGAGAAGGGTGGGAGGGGGAACACTCACAGTGAATCAAAATCCTTTTATGGAATGTTTAAGTGCTGGGAGGGTGGGGTTTGCCACACAGGACAATTTGGTCAATACTAAAAAATTATGAAAACCAATGTGGTCTCCTTATCATCTACCAAAATGTTGCATTTAAAATAACCCTTCAGGTTTTCACACATCACTGTTTGGATGTTCATTAGAAAGTGGACTTCTGTCTGTGCTCTCTGAATTCACACATGCACAAAAACAAGGGCCTAAGCATATAACCAGTGCATGCATTGTATATAAGCTATATACACTACATCTGTCACACCAGATTTTCAAAATAATACATCTTTTTACAATAAAATAAAAGTTCTCTCAGAGATATCCCCCCAGATGATTAACCAGGCTGCAGTCTGTCCTGCACACTGTTGTGTATTTTAGTTGCAGAGGTCTTGCTGCATAGTTCTCTCTCTATGATGTAAATTAAAAATGTAATAAAAATCCAAAAAGCTGTTTTCTCAATTCGCCTCTGGTCTAATTTAAAGACAAATTGGTACAGATAGAATGTCATTCAAAAAAACAAAAGTGCCCAAAAGGAAATACTTTTACACAGTATGAGGCCTATGATGGTAATATCTGATTACTGTAAAGTTGAACGCAGTTTTTATTCATATAGGCGAAATGCTACATTTAATCGTTTAGAGCAGTTTACTTAAAAACAACTTAGTTGTCTTTGTACATGTTTTACAGATATCTGCACCTAAATTATGACCATGATTACACTTTCAAATATCTACAATTTAGTTCCAACTAGTTATAATAAGTCCCCTTCACCCATGGCTCCAACATGTTTTTCAGTCAGGTGCCATGCAAAATCAGCTTTGCACATTTTGCAATTAACCGTCTTCTTTGAAGATTTTCATGTAAAATGCTTCTACACTTTTGAGTACTAGGTTTGTACACTTGTCTTGGCTGTATCGTTTGTGGTGTTTCCCTCTATTTTCAAACGCTTACCCCAGAGGAGCAGCCACATGAGGCCCAGCATAGGCTGGCTCAATGCCCCCACCTCAGGAGACACTGCCACAGCATGTGCTATGCAATATAACATAGACCCAACTAATCAATAATGACATTGATTGCAACTATGCTATTTATATCTATATTGTTTTAACTGATTAATTGTTGCAGCCCTATACATCAAATTCTCCTTAATTTGGTAAAAGCATAGAAAAAAAAACATTTTTTAAACTAAGTGTTTGTATCCCCTTTAATGGTGGTGAGAGCTGAAAGAGGCAGCTGAAAAGAGGCAGGGACAAGACAAGAAACAGTCCCCTTCAAAGTGGCCTTAAAGTTTGGGTTAGTCTTGAGTTAGTGCCCTTGTGAAAAGCAAACCTCAAATAACAGAGGAGGACCTGCAGAGTGTTAAATATGCAGTAAACACCCATGTGTGTTTGTGTGTGTGCACAGTTATGTGCACATTCCACTCCAGAGTCACCATAAACATGTCAGAGCGAGTGTGCTGTGGTGCTGATGAGTTATTATATTCTGATATATGGGAGGCACACAGGACTGCTGCGCAGGCGGGGGGGTCAGCATGTCACACATGTGTCACGCGTACACACACATACACCACATCACTTCCCAAACAGATGTCCACTCAAAGCCAAAGTCACACTGAGCCAAATAAAGACAAATGGATTTGTTTGACTTTGCAGATGACACGGTTTGCTTTTCTTCTGTATGAGCCGGACATGTATGTATGAGTAGCAGTGTGGGAGAGCTACTGGGGATTTCTTTATGCCTCCTTGCTCACAGTGGTGACAGGAGCAATGCATTCATTAAGAGTCAGCAAAGTGCATATTAAAGCACTAACATATTAAATGGCTTTATATGGAACTAAGGCAGAGTGACGCAGAAGCTCAATTTCCTAATAAAGTGCATCATTCTGCAAGGTACAGGACAGCAGGCTCAGAGAGCAGCTTCAGGGACTGCAAAGGTCACTGCAGCCTCAAAAAACACCTCATCATAAACAGAGGGACTGCGCAACTTTACTACAATCAGTTCTTGTTATTTCACTCACTAATACCTTTCAGAAGCAAACTCAACATATTGTTTAAAGCTCAAAAAGGAGGGGGGGGCATTTCCTAAAGTTGAATAACATTAAGTAACATCAAAACTGACATTGATATTTACCCTCTGACTCTTTCAAGGATTTGAACTAATTTTGAATTCAAAACTTCCTGTCTGCAGGAAATTAAACTGCAAAAAATACAAATAAACAGCAGTCAGAGGGCCATTTGATTCTGCACATGTATCCAGTAAAAATGTTAAGCAATGGAGAGAGTTGTTGAAGATATTGATTGGTGTTTACAGTATCGTCAAAAGCGCTGGGTGTGAGCTCAACATGGAAAGTCATGACAGCAGTCTGCTCTCTGTTGTTGTGGACCTGTTGCTGCCACCTTTGCATACGCCTGCAGGTTTTAACCGATGAAATTGGACAGAGTAGGTCTCTGACATGTACACTGGTCATGACTGGCAGAGTTTAAAGTCACAGGAAGGTAATAATATGATGCATTATGATTGGACACAATACGTTTTTGAATGTATATTTTTGCACAAATTCACAAGAGATGAATGAACAATTAACAAAGGGACAGAGGTGTAAACTGGGAAAATCTATTTAAACTTGCATCACTGCTTCATGGTTGTATACCTCTACCAACCAATCAAGTTGCACGAAATGGGCGAATCAGTCACATGAACCTAGAAGTCTCACGTGTGTGATTATTCGAGGCCTAGGAGGTTTTATTACCATTAGATCAAAGTAGCAGTTCCTCTGCTGTTTTATATAATAACATATGTATTTCTGAACAGCAGCATTTAAAGGTTTGCTTGTAGCTTTACTTGTAGCTGATCAGAGATCATTCACAGCTTTCTGGTCTTCATGTTGATTCAATCTTAAAGGGTTAGTTGAAAAATGCCAGTGCCAGGAACTAAAGGCTGGAATTCTGAAATCAAATTTCACTCCAACCCTGATGTCTTCAGTGTACAAAATTAAGCCAATGCAATGGCATTGACAAAGGTCAAGTTCACTGTGACCTCACCTCTGTTCTTGTGGTTGTGATAAATCAGGAATGCCACAAAAATCCACTTGTAACCAAGGATGAACTGATAAGAATTTGGTTACCGTGACCTCATAAAACATTTTTGATCCTAATTCAAGAATAATTATGCAAATTATGAAACAATTTAACACCAATCCCTAAGAATAAAATAAGGGCATTTCATGTCTAAAAGATCAAATATCAACTTCGCTGTGAGATCATAATGTGCCATTATTTAACACCCTTCTCAGGAGTAGCAGGTGATAAACAACATTTCATTGAAATTTACTGGTTGGCAAAGACATAAAACCAAAAGGCAGGTTTTTTAAGTATATATTTTTATTGTTAGCAGAATACATATTGTACTATTATACTGTATATTGGGCATTGTATAATAGATCTCTAGAAAAAACATTTTGGAGCCCTAATAGCTTGTGGTTATTGTACCCTTTGGTACCTGCCTGAAGATAAACAACACAATGAAAACAAATTACAAACAAGTTAACAAAGGTTTAAGAGATAAACCTATCTTGTGCATGATAAGCACCATAGTTTGTCCACATTGATGAGCCAGGATGCCAATGGCTCAAGGCGTTCCCCATCACAGAGTGTGCAGTCTAATTATTCCAAAGCATTCAGCAGCATACAGGGGAATCCATTCACACATCCATCAAAGACTGGACAGCAATTATAGTTCTCTCTCTCTTTCACAACCCACACACCCCTCTTTGTCCTCAGTGAGCTGCTGGTGGTTCATGTTCAGAATGGTTCATGTTAATCAGTTACATATTAAACCAAACGAAGTTAATGAGTGTCAGTCAGAAAGTGAATAGTTTGCTCCTGCATTAATAAACATGACTTCCCACATTTACGAGGCTAATCATTGACTCAGTGACTGGGAAACTTACACAGTACAGCGCTTGATGTAGTTTGCTGTTGAGGGTCACAACACACGATGGCTAACAAATGCCCACCAGATTTTGTCTAGTACCAGGACATGATAGTGAGTCAAAGACTAAATTCGAACTAAGTCAACACTCACTCTTAAATGGCAAATTTTCAAACAAATTGTACAAATATTTGCTAAACCATAAATCTAACTTATGGAATTGAAGCACAGCATGGAAAGCACATCAAGATTTTGACTTCTCCACATTAATATTATGTATAGCTGCTTTCAGACCTGTACTGAACTGTATGAGGGGACGTATGTCAGAACTAGAGGTGGGCAAATCTCACGATTTTTGAATGCATCGCGATGCGGACATGGACGACTGCATCGATGCAGAAATGGAACATAATCGATTCAAGGACTCTGCCACGTTCATTGCTGTAGCGCTGCAAAAATTATAACCACCATTGATACAGGATCAGGACAGACGCACTTTAAAGTTCTGGTTGTTTGTTACAGTGTCAGAGTCTCCTCTGTCTGAGTGTGCTCCCTCCACTCACCTGCACCCACTTTACACTCTAATAATATACACCGACAATAATCAGAATTTATTAGGACCTGAACAGTGTTGAAGTTAATTTTGTGTTTGTTGATTAGCTTTAGAGTTTATGATGCAAGTATTTAAACACGTGTGCACGTAGTTCATTTGCTTCACACAACAAGAGACGTGCACAGCCAGGATATCAGAGTTAAAGTGACCGGAATGATCTGGAAATCAGAGAGATAAACCTAATTTCCAGTATTTTTGCACATTAGCTAACTGCTAACTCGCTTACTGTGGTGCAAATGCATGACTCAGTAGCATCACTGATTTCTCCTGCATGGCCGAAGCAAAAAGGGATCTCACTCTCATTCTCTATCTTTCTGTTTAATTCTCTCCCCATCATTTATTCTCTCTGGTTTCATTCTGCCTCTCCGTCACATTACTCTCTCCCACAACCATTTTGTTCCCACTCCCATTTCTCACTTTCCTCCACTCTCTGTCTCCGCAGTGCGTTCCATCATCCATCCTGCATTTGAGTCTCAGTATCAATCTCCATCTATGTCTCTCTGTTTGGAATTAATCTGACGAGTCTTTCCTGATCACCAAACTTCATCTTTCTCTTCCGCTCCCTTCCCCTCATTATTTCTCAATGCACAAGATTAAACTCCCACTGCGGGGTGAGAAGGAGATTGCAGAGGTGGATCAGAGAGGGGAAAGGAAAGAAGGAAAAATGGGATGCTGAGACAGAAGGATGAGAGTACAAGGCTTTAGCTACAGTGTGTTCATCTGAGGCTGTCAGCTGCAATGTACTTCATGATGCATCATCCAGGTTCTTTGCCCAGTGCCAACTTTGCACTCACAAAATCTTTTTGTTTTTCAGCCTTTTCATTTTCTCCTTTGACCCCCGCCCCTCCCTGATCCTACCTTTTATCTCCTACCTGTCCCTCGACCCTAGTCTTCTTCTATTTCATTCTTCCCCTTTCCTCTCTCTGATCATCTTCAATTCCATGCAGTCAACTCTTTAAAGGGAGTGTTGGTGGGAGCGTCCCTTGAACAAGAGCCCTGCTGAAAATCACAGCATTCTGTGAACTCTATTCTGTGAGAAAGACCCATTTAATTTTGAGCAGTGTCCAAACGTCCAGTCCTTCTGCAAAATTGCTTAAATGAGGTGGGGCAAAAGTGGTGCAGAGATTCACCAATAGTGGGCCACAAATTGTGAGGCTAGGTATTAGGCTAGTGAGGACTGTGAGCTAATGCTCAAGGGGGATAAACTGAGCATGATTTTTTTATTTTTATGAAAGTGCATCCAGAGGTTACACGAAAAGGCTATGACGGACATTTATTACCTAAACCATAAAAAAGGAACACAGTAAATCAACCTAAGAGTAATTTTGGATGTTGAACCACTTCAGGGGAACTATTCAAGGTTTATCAAAGTAAGTTTTCACACCTGCAAGTTTAATCAGACTCTGGTTAGTTTAACCCCTTGGTGCAGTTTGTTTGGGCAAAATAAAAGCCTCTTTCGAGGAGTAGGTCTAGGTAGGGTCCCAAACAAACTCTGAAGCAGCTGTTTGTGGTGGGAACATGATACAACCTCAGTCTAACCCAACTGTGAGGTAGCTTCTGTACCGAGGTGTGCTTTGCATTGTGAGATTCTGTAAAGCAGGCAAACTTTGGCAGCTTGCATAGCTAACAACATAATGAAAGGAGATCTTACATCTACGAGCAACGAGGCTCTTTCTCCCTGTATTCACTTTTTTGTTCCTATCCTGGACATATGAGAGTAATGAGTAGACTGAACATTCTCATCCAATTCTCACAGATGGATTTTAGTTGGTTTTCTTTTTCTCTGTGCAAAAAAAAATTAACCAAGGGGAAAAGGCTTGTAGACCAGGACAAAGCCAAGTAGATGGTATAGAACCAGTGCCAGACCAAGTGAGGATCAGAGAGACAGATTTCTTTGACTGCCAAGTCTAGTCCTCTCTTCATCAGTGCTTCAGAAATGAATATAGGTAACATTACACTGAGTGAGAATAATCAACAAGGCTAATTCCTCTTAGCTCCATTTGAGGATAGCTCCAGGGCTTTAAGCTCCTCACGTTGAGAGTTTCCATGACGAACAGGCTACTGGCTCAGCGAGGAGAGGAAGATGGGAAGATTTATCACAAACCCTGACATGAACAAAGACCACCATGTTGACTGCACTGCTGAATGGGAAGGAGAATCATAAAACTATCTGACAGACAAACATACATTGCTGATGTGCACTTGTACATGCAGGCAGCCCTGCAGCTCAAAAAGGAAATGCTTGTATGATAGGCACAGGCTATACTGCCACCCTCCATGGCATTGTCCTTCTCCTACAACCAACAGATAACATTCCTGTTCAAGGCTAAGGTATGAACATGGATTGGGGAGGCTTTGTTCCAGAAATATATATTGGTGGCAGAGACAGTCATATGGATCAATAAATCAGAATCAGAAGCCTCAACATGCAAAGCTGGCTAATGAGGGGTGTTTTCTATACCAGTCTCTGATCTCTCATCCCAACTGCCTCCCTCCCCTGATTCTCTCCTCTCCTCTGACCCTTGTCCCTCCCCCTCAACTCCATCTCTGCACACCCAAATGAACAATGGCATGACTGCCCAAAGCAGGAGATAGTCCAAACCTCATCACATCCCCAACCAACCTAATTATCACAACCAGCCAAATGAGACGTCAGCTTACCAGGAACCAGATCAACAAGACCAGAAGATCTGGGTGCTCAAGGTGCGCGAGAAACCAAGTCAAACTCAGGGTGCCAGGCCTGGTCCAACCACCTTGTTGAGTGACTTGGTAAAGAAGCAGCAAAAAGCCTCATCATTTGTAAAGCATTCCTCAGTTTTATGTGTATTTTTATGTGTATATTTTTATTAAAAATTCTTATCTTAGTGTATATAAGTTGAGGTAAAGGTTTATGCAGATGATGTCTAGTATAGGAGTAGATTTACTCACATGTCCTCAGGTGTCCAGTGCAGGAGAACCTTCACCTTGCCGGACCCTTCTTTCCTTCTGGCCAACACCTGCACAGAGAGAATTAAGCACGAGCACAAGCTGAGTTATGAACGAAATAAAAACTAGGACGCCAAGAAAATGACTACTCCTGCCTCCTCACTGTTATTTCACTCAGTCAGTCAGTCAATTAGTCTCTACTGCACTGCTGTGATTTGACATATGAATACCCCAATAGCCAAACCTTAACTAGTTTGACCAATGTAAGGTAACCACCAAACATCTACAAAAGCCATATAATTCATCCAATATGTCTGATTTCTTATTTCAAGCTAATATGTAATTTTATAAGCACCCGATTTGCATGAATGTGTTGAGTTTGGCTCATATTGCAGCAGTCAAATTTTTCTGCAGAGAATCAGCTTCAAAGATATGCCCCCACCCCGGCCCCATCTCTGACTAATAATTAGGCTACATGCTTCAGACATCTCACCAAGTGATATAGTGGCTGATCATTACACTAATAAGCAATGGGAACGATCTTAATAATGCATGCAAGAGCTCAGTGAGATTTCTATTTTCAATGGCAGCTATCCCATACTCCCATGCAACATACTGTAAGACCAAGGAATTTAAGATCTGACAAATGTTTGATATGCTGAAAGTATTTGGACTAAAGTAAGGACTGCTCATCCCAGCTGGGACCGTAGAGAGCAGAGAAGATAAAAATGGGGTATAAACAAGTCCCATCTCTTGTTAGCACCAGATGCATTAATGCTTTTAAGAGGAGTACATCTGATTGAATGTAGCACAAACTTTCTAATGTTTATGGTACTAATATTGATTGTGCTCAATATTTGTCTTGTGTTTGGTCACCTGCTCTAACTCGTATGTCTCACTCTGCCAACAGAATCACAAACTTCAAGGCTTTTCTTCACTAAATACACTAAGGACAATGGCAGATTTCCTGAATATTTCGTCCTTTTTATGTATAACATTCTTTCTATCATGCTGCGTTAGTTTATAGTAAAACTGGTCTGGAATCCACACAAATATTGTCAGTAGGGAAAAGAAAAGCTAGAAAAATAACCAGCGGTGTCAAAAATAGCCACAGATATAACCTCTTGCGTCAATTGGCTCTTTTTTGTGAGGAATGTCTATTTTTAGGATAGTGAATGAGTTCACATGTGAAGAACTTCTCTTACGCACATGAATATCTGAAATTATTTTTATGACTCCAGGGACTGGCTGCGGCATTGATGGAAAGTGGTTTGAGGACAGGCGAGAGGAGGCTCCTCTGAGACACGAGACACAGACGGAGACAAAGACCTAGAATCACTTCTCTCCTCTTCTTACCACTTTTTCTATCCTCCCAAATTCTAACCCACACGTGAACAAATTATTTTATTATAAGGACCCTAAATTTGATTTGTTTATCATACCAATATGACATATTTTGCATGTTTGTCTCTTCTGTCAAGCACGTGAAAATTGGATTATTAATTTTATCATTCTCTGAGCTAATTTATAAGGAAATGTCTCACTCTCTTTTGCTATCAATGCTGGTGGGGCTTTATGACATCAATATTAATATTTTGAAAAGCTTCCAGGTATAGAGTTGTCTGAAAGACGTCGTTAGTAAAACAAATGGCACAACAAACACATTTACTTGCTTTTAGGAAATATTTAGCCTAGGTTAGCAGATGTAAATTTTGTTTTTGCAGACTTGCTGTCATAATATTTGTCTGTGAGAGGCCTTGTAAATTGTAGCCAAGTTGGCAAATCCACTATGTTGTTGTCTCTTGTTTGTAATATATTGTTCAAATATTAAACTCCTCTGAATGGACTAGGGAAGAAGTAGGGAGAGCGAAGCAGCAGTAGCAGCATGAGTGATGAACCTGAGAAAAACTACCACGCTTGAACAGATATAATTTTGATATGAAATTGAAAATCCTTCCAATGACGTATAAAAAGAAATATGTGCTACAGTGTGACTGTAAGGGGAAACAATAGTGAAGGTTTCAGTGACTCAAAGTAAGGATGGAATAGAGTGTCACATGGGAGTGGACACGATAGGGGCATCTTGCTGTCTGCGTGAATTCTCTAAAAGACTAATGCAAACATGTAGGTTAAATGTCATTGATTAGATTCTGGTGTCAGCATACTGTCTTAGGCTGGGATTTCCATGCTTGTGCAGAGTATGCATGTGCTAGATACCTCTAGAGGGCGTACCAGAGCGCCCAGACTGTATAGTAGAGGGAGCAGATATGCATGCTGAAAGAAATGCATATGCCAACTTCTAGAATGTACCGATCTGCTGCCTGCCGTTTTGACCATCATGCTGTGAGTGTGCAGCAGCATTGATGCGAACATACAGGTAATTCTGGACAATGGTTTATTTGCTGGTCTTGAAAATGTCCCACTATTGTAAACCCCCACCTAATTTCTATTTATGTGTCAATTTAGTCTTATGAAGAATCAAAAACATTTGCTATTACTTATCTATATTCAAATCATCCCCCCAAAAAAATTTTTTAACTTTAAACTTTTTTTTTTTCTTTCTTCTCTTGGGCCACTTTTATTTAAAATTGTTTTCAGAGTATTAATCTCATTTATCTGCCCCTTTCCCCATAACTAATGCTTCTGCACAGTTAATCCACATGATGGAGAGGAAACAAATAGCCATGGGGTGAAGGTAAAGCATTAGCATGAATCCAGTGCTGGCAGCAATGGGCTGAACAGGAAGTGTCTCTTAGACTGACTACACCAACAGCTGCTTTACTGCCCTTTTAATTAAAAATGCATTGCTGTTAACGTGGGCCCCTCAGGCTCGTCACCGCACCAGGTTAATAATCACTAACCCAGAGTACACTTGAATGGGCCATGTAAAGGCCGAAGATCAAGAAGTGGGCTTGTGTTTAAGCAGCATGAAGTGATTTGTGAGCTGAGCTGGTTTGATGATGGAAGTCGGGGCTTTAAGGGACAGATCTTAATCCACTCTAGACCCAAGAGAGGGAGGTAAGAGACAGAGAGGGAGGTTGGGAGGAAATAAGGAGTTAACAGTGGATATTAGAAAACAAAGCAGTAAGAGGGGCTGGGCTGCAGCCGGGGGAAGGCAGAACTGCTAAAACTGGGTGCCTGACTAGTGTCAGGGGGTCAAGCAGTGGATGACGCAGATTGGCGCAACAAAAATATCCCATCATAAACATTGTTGAGTTGCTCTGGCGTGTCAGCAGGACTATTGGCCAAACTCCACAGAACCCCCCACAGCTCTGCTCTATCTCCCCGGGCCTGGGAGGGCCCGCTGGGGCCTGAGGTCTGACGCAGCGCCACAGTCCTTCTCCACCACAATCCTCCAGGGATTAGAGAGAGAGAATGTACGCTCAACTGGCCAGATCTCCTTCCGATTCCATGAGTCTGACCTTTACTTCACCACTTTTTCTCGCCCTTTCTCTCATTTTCTCTACATTTGTTTCTCCCCCTTCTCTGCTGGCTGGCTATTCCTCCTCCTCAAGTCTATGTCCAAATATGCGATTTACCTCTCTTAACCTCTTCCCAAGCTTTATCTTCACTTTTTTTTCTCTTCACTGAGCTTTTCTTTTCAAATTCTTGGCTGCTGGAGAGCAGTTGGGGTTTGTAGGGGCAGAACAGAACAGAAAAGAGTTGAAAGGGACTGTGTTAAGAGCAAAGCAATACTGTAGTGACGATAGCACTATTCAACACTCCAATTAAATTTAACATGAACAGAAGCTTTAATCGTGGGTTTGTGAAAAACTCCATCCAACACTCTACTTTTCCCATAATGCTTAAATTATTTCCAGTGGAAAATAATTTGAAAGGGAAAAAGATGCACAACATGTTCACGTGTACAAAATATTCATGCATGCATTAAAGATTTTTTTTATAAATTTGACCTGTGAGTTAGGTTTATCTATAAGGGCTTTAATGTCATTATAATTATTGCCTTACAGACTTAAAAATCATACAATGACAAATATGCTCATCTCCTCGTATGATGCTTTTGTTCTGAAAAAAATCTGATGTACAAATTAATGATTCTGCAATTGATTATTTTTTTTCTTTAAGAACTTAAGAGTTTGACCTCATGTAATGCAAAAGAATGCATCCTGATTCTTTGCTTTAATTGATGTCTTTCATATTTAGCATAAATTTGCCATATTGTGAAATAAATAATTTGTTTGTGCCTTCATGTAAAGTATCTATTCAAGTGGTCTAAACAATAAGTGCTTCCAGAGATGTTTTCACTGTTCTCTTAGGAAGAGAAAATGTGTAGTAGATTCATCTGCTCATAAGTGCACCAATTATTTCTGCTAGGTTGCTATGCAAAAAACAGTAAACGTATTATTTATATAGGACTTTACTGTTGGTGGTGGTGGTGGGGGGTAACACATAAAACGGCTAGTTTTGTGTGTAAAGTGCTACATAGAGAAAAAAAGACCTTTTTCAAACGTCACAGTAGGAAACGCATTGGTGTAAATAATGAAGTCAATTAGTGGTACAGAGCCATCGTTACTGCAACATGACAGAATGGCTGCTGCGAAAAGGTCACAAGGCAAATGGCATAATAATAATAATAATAATAATAATAATGAAATATTTCAGTGAACCTTTCTAGACACCAAATAACATTTACAATTTGTCATAAATAAACATTAATAATGTGACAAGAGTAGTTAAAAAGTATAAGCAAGATAAAAAATTACATATCTGAACTACAGAGTGAGTGTACATGTAACCACTGTAAACATGATTACTGCCACTGATAAATAGCAGGTTCTATATGAATATAATCAGAGACTAAGCTGAGACACAGTTATTGAATTTGTATGTTTTGTATTTTCTATGTTTAACTGATTTCACTGTGCAATACTGATTTCTGTCTTTGCAATTCAATGGTTCATGTGGAATCTGTTTCAGTGTATATCAGCTGCTCTCACGGTACACACACTGCTTACACTGGATATTAATCCTATTCTAGTTATTCTTTATATTTCCTTGCATTTAAATTGCATGTTATTATTGCGTTTAGTGATGTCTATTTTTTGACTGTCCTCTTTGCTACTGTAGCACAGCAAATTTCTGAATTGTTGGAATAATAAAGGATTATCTTATCTTGTGTTATGTACATATTGTACATGAAGGAAGTTGGAATTAGGCTGTACGTGACAATTATTTCTGTCAAAAGCTGTTAACATCATGCAGTTTGAGATCTATGAGAAGGAGTCGGGGGTGCTTCCTAGCAGAACTGAATAAGAAAAGCAGTCATTTAAACATCTGAGTTATCTTATAGTTGATCTTAATATAGAATTCACTCTTTAAAATCATCATCAGTGAGAAGTGCTTATGTATGCCCTCAATAGAAAGGTGCAAAGGTACTTTACAACTCATTAATAATGTATAAAGCACAGGGCTCAGAACGGACTGAGATACACAAAAACAATCCAATTGTGTTTCCTGTGAAGCTCGATTCAGAGAAAAACAACGTCAAAGCCCCGGGGCGATTCACAAGGTTCACTTCAAGTGCACGGAGGAGAAATACATAAATCTAGAGTGAGTCTTTCACACCCCCTGCTGTCCAAAAGGAAAATAACAAAATAAAGAGATTTCAATTGGACACAAATATGACAACAATCATGCAGATTAGGCTAAACAGTGTCTATATTCATTCATAGAAAAAGTACAATTTAGACATGATTCAGAATAAGTACTGACTATAATCTGTGAACATGTTCTCATCAGTGATGCTTTGATTTGCCTGTTGTGTACATGGAAGCACAAGACCACAGCTTCTACTGCCACTAAGTGTTTTTTAATATGCAGATGTAGAGAATGATAACGATTTATCAACGTTCAATTTCTTCATAATGCCAAGGTGGTTTTTGTTTACAATGTAATGTAAGAAAACACTTTTACTTGATTACATTTTTGTGTACTTAATGGTACTTAAGGTTAAGTGAAATGTTACTACTTCCTCCATCATTTCGATTAATCGGAAAACAAGTAGCCATTGTGAACCCGGCAAGACATAGACTGGAAACGAAGCGCTCACCGTGCTGTGAAAGACCACACTGTGGCCATTGCCCACGCTTTCGATGTGGGTGGCGAGGTTGAGACAGATGGCCCTGTGGCGAATAGCATCCATGGTCTGAGCATCGAAGAAGTCGTGGGGCCTCGCTGGAAGGGAAGGAGGACAGACTGATGAACCAGAGTGAATGAAACATAACACCAGGGTTCCCACTGTGGCCCTCAACTGTAACAATCCCATTGCTTTTCCAAGTGTTTCTGAAACTTAGCCAAAACATCAGAATCATCTCATGACTGAACAATGTGATCCCTTTGGAAATTTTTGCAGCAACAAAAAAGTTTTACTTCCTGTTGACTGAATTGCCGTGCATCTGTAGAAGACTAAAAAAACAAGACAGCCGCTTTGATGGATCGTTGCCTCTCTGTTTTCTGTTCTCTGCAAAGTTTTAATTAAAATTTTTGTAAATGAATGGCTATCTAGGGAAAAATCGATCTTAAATCTTTTGGTTAGGAAAACAGCTGAAGAAAACTTTAGGTATGTACAATTGGTAGCTAAAATAAGCAAAACTGAAGAGTATTTTAATAACTATAGACACCTTCCAACAAAAATAACAGTAATATATTAAAAGACATGTTTTACAGCTTATGATTTCGATTTGGTACTTCACACTAAGTAAAATTGTATTAAGTAGCTTTTTTTAGATTAATTCAAAGAAAAACACAGACATGTAGAGGTGTTTGAAAGAGTCTGCACAATCCAGAGACAGCAGGCCATCTGAGGCCAACACTGCCACCATGAGACAACATCATTATCTACAGGCACCAGCAAAAACACATTATAAAAGATAAAAAAAATAAAAAAATAAAATGTTGTTCTCTGAAATGTAGAACATTACCATGGGGATAGAATCTGTGTAGCTGACATAAGCTTTCTGTATGTTCCTGTGTGTGTGCGCATGCAGGTGCCTATGTGTGGTCCACTTTCTTCTCCAGAAAGAGATGTGTGAGGCTGAAAACAACTTTCTCAGCACAACTTAAGTTGCACCACACAAAAATGTGTTTAGCTTATATTCCTGTACAACAGGGATATTCACGAGTAACAGCACTTCCTGAGGCTGGCCACGCTCGCGAGGTGCTTCCTCTCCACCGGAGTTTCACAGCTGAAAGAATACGCACCAGACCATCCGTATGTCGACATGTTTCTATTTCTTAATAAAAAACAGTAACAGACAAGCTGTCTGCTCTGAGGACTGAGGTAGGCCTGGTTACTACATGTTTATGTTTTGTTCACATGGTGGATTTTTTTAAAGCTTTTTGTCGTATTTAAAATATGTTTGTTTTTTCAAACTGTTTATACATTACAAAGTCTGACTACTTTTTGCTATTTTTTAACTAAATAAATAAGTCATTTAAAATGCATACGGGAGATGTCAGTTACACTGAACACACAGCGACGGAGGAGTTTGGTGAATCTGTTTTTGTTTATTAGAAACTCTGCCTGCTATTTTCTGCTTACATTAAAAAGCCTCAGCTATCTGACAAAGACAGACAAAGAAAATGCAAAGTGAACATTCAGACTTCCCAGAGAAAAATCCCAATGAGAAACAATTTCTGAAAGCAACAATATATCTGAGTGCAAGCACACAGTTTGAGCAGAAGCAGAGCAGATTTAAGTGCAAATGGGGTATTTTAGTGCAAGGGCAAGGTTTTGATGAAAAGTAATACACAATCTGAACATAAATTCAACAAGTCATGCTCTCAAACTGAAAGACCACGCTCCTGAATAAAGAGCGGAAAATAACTCCATAACAGAGGGTTTGTGTGTGTGTGTGAGTGAGTGTTTGTGTTAGGTACGTACGTAGGGAGCACCTGCGTTTGTTCTTGAGCTTCTTCCTCTTGTTAAGTCCAGCCTTGGACGGTGACTCCTCTTTGAGTTTGGCCTGGCTGGACATTTTAGAGGAGCTCTGCTGGCTGAAGTGACTCGGCACATGGCGAGCCAAACCTCCCTGAGAGGCAAAGCTGGCGTTACAGCCACCGACTACACACTGCAGAGGAACACAATGACCAATATTACACTTAGTAGGACAAGATGATAACTAAACAAACAAGCAACTAACACATTGTTTTATTTCAGTTAATGTTTTAGCCAATGGAGCTGGAGAATTGTTGGGGAACACTTGCATTCTGACAAAAATTCTTACGTTTGTTTAAACGTAGATAAAGCTGCTGTCCTGTACTAGATTACTAGACCATGTTGGAGAGGAAACTAAGATGATGGCTCAGCCTTGACACTAAACCTACTAAGCTGTTGAACACAATTTTAATATTAAAAATAATATTAATTCTGGAATTTATATTGAACATTTGTATTTATTTCGTAAATGTAATAATGGACGGACAATAACATGAATCATCATCATGTGGTGAACATCCTATCTGAGTCATTGGTTTTTACCTTGAAGGGCTTATCTCCGCTGTGGGTCAACATGTGTCTCTGGAGCCAACTCTGACTGGTGGATGGTGTGTTATACACCTTACAACCCTTCCACAGACACACAAACACCTGAGGAACACAGACAGATAAGAAAATTGGACAGGAGGTGTATATAGGAGTGATGTGACAAATATAAACACAATACAGGAAAAGACAGGTTAAAGAGAAAGGTAAAGAAGGACATTAGCTTGCTAAAACATCAACACAAAGTCTACTAACCCCTCCTCTCTGTCCATCCACATGAATGCCCCTGATGTGCTCAGCCAGATCAGGACTTGAGTTGAAGCACTGGGGACAGAGGTCCCAGCAGCAGGAGTAGGCCACAGTCTTTGCCCCGGAGGAGCTGGCGCTGATCTGTCCATTCATCATAGCGGGAGTGGAGCGTCCGCTGGACACCGTGCTCTCCATCTCCATCAGGGTGCTGCTGATACTGAAAGAGAGGGGTGGGTGGGTGGGTGGGTGGGCAGGAAGAGAGGAAGTTGGAAGAAAGCAGCTCCACGGTTATAAGAGAATATCCTCACAGCTCAGATCAGGCTTTACACAGCCGTGAAGAACAGGTGCAAATACCACTTGCAACATTACATGCTCGCTATGCGTGAAAGGCTTCTGGCTGCAACTGATTTTCCATGCATGCCACGTTCATCACTGAAACCAAATCGATGATATCATTTTATTCAGAGCACTTAGCATGATATTATTCATTTGTGATGCTGTTAAAATCACCAAGAGGTTTATATGAAATGGTCTCTTCGCTTGTTTAATAATCTATCTATTGCTTTTTCAGAGTTCGACCAGTTTTATCAGCATTTCAATAAATGTTATTTTCTCATTTAAAGTCTACACCTGAGTGTGCTGATGACTGATTCTTATTTTTTTCCCAGAGGGTGGGAAGTTTCTGTCTTGGAGGCCTCAACCCATTAAGACCTGATGCAACATGCCAATGTGTATAGGATCAACCTCACCACTGTGCCTCCTCTAATAATTATCAGTAGTTATTATTATTTATCATATATTCTTTTTGTATTCTTAGTATTTAGTGATTCTGACCACCATGACTACTTTTCACTGTGCTCATACAGAACCTTCAAACTTCAGCTACCCTTGTACACCTTATAGCTTGGTTATCGTTTTGTGTTGCATTTTATTTTTGTTAAGTTGTACTGTGTTTTTGTGTATTGTATTTAATATTGAATGGTTGTTTTACACTCAATGATATTTTGTTCTCTCGTGTACTTTGTAGTACAAAAGTTGATTGGTATATAAAAGATGACTTTTGATGTTTGGAGACCAACATGCAACTGGAGGTTTTCATGAAAACCTCAAAAACATATTGTATATAATGAAAATGGACACTACAGTGAAATAGTAAAAAGAGTTTGAGTTTGTACACAGAAGATGATTTAGTGATGTAGTCTGATCCAACATCCAGCTTTCAGGATGGGGTGATTCTGAAAAACCTCTGGTACATAGTGTGGATCTTGAAAATTGGCCTTACAGTGAAACAGGACGCATCTTGCATTGAGCAGTGAAACTTTTGAAATGAAAATGTACTGTATATAAATATTATAGACAGGTTCTGTGAGTGTGTGTGTGTGTGTGTGTGTGTGTGTGGGGGGGGGGGGGGGGGGTCTTCACAGCTGATGTGAGAGTTAAATAGAAAATGACTGAGGGGTTTAGGTTTTAGTTTGCAGGTTCATCGTATTAGAATCAAACATTGAAATGAATGAGTCCTCCTGCGCTGGTTCGGACACGTTAGGACCGTGACTCGCAGCTGAGGCTCACACCCACCCCCCGTCAACAGGGACCGGTCACTGCCCACACCGACCTGTCCTCCGAGTCCATGCGGCTCAGCGGTTCACCGTCCGAGGATGATATCTCCACACTGGGCCGCCTCTTGTCGTCCAGCTCCGTGCCTCCGCCGCTCGGTTTCTCCCCGTCGTCACACACCGCTTTGCTCTTCTCACAGTCCGCCTCCGAGCACCGGCTGTCCTCCCCCGGTTCCTCCTTCGCCTCCTTCATGGCGCTGTGGTTGGCGGGCTCGCTGCTGCCCTCTCCGGGGCTCTGCTCGGGCTCGGGCTTCGCCTCCGGTTCTTCGGGAGCGGCTGTCTCCTCCTGGTTGACAGTTACGGGGCCGTCGTGTGCCACCGCCTCGCTCGGGGCCTTGTCCGCAGCTTCAGCGGGCTTCTCCTCGCCGGCCTCCCCGCCCGCCTCTTCCATTTTCGGTTCTACGTGAGGAACTGGTTCCGCTGGTTCCGCTTCGGCGAGGCCCTTCTCTTTGTCCTCGTCATTGCTCTCGCTTGTCCCCGCTGAGGGTGCGTGGTTCTCGGCAGCCAGAGCGGCTGTCTCTCCGGTGGGTTCAGCAGCCATTTCTGCACCGTGGGACAGTTTCCGTGTTAAAGTGTATGAGCCGCCGTCATCATAGAGAGGGCGGGGTCAACCACACATGCTGCTCTCTGATTGGTCAGAGGCAGCACGAGGAGGCCAGACCGTGACGTTGGTATTTAAACTTTCCATGTGTTTCTTCTTCTGGGTTTTAAAAGAGGAGTCCGTGTTTACTACAGGATTTGTCCTCAGGGACATCCACCTTCTTCTTCATGCCCTGTCAGGAGCCACAGATCAATCATGAAGAAAGATCAAGCAAATCGATATTTACAACATAATTGTCTTTAAGCACTAAAACGTCTCCAATAACCTGACCAGAGCAATCAGTCAAATACATTTTATTTGTACAGCCCATATTCACAAATCACAGTTTGGTTCATAGGGCTTCAGGTGCCACGTCCTCGATCCTTAACCTTTTAACATGAGGTAGAAACTTCAGAGAGCCACGTCAAGGATCCCTCTCCCAGGACGGACAGAGGTGCAATAGATGCTGCGTGTAACTGAACAAGTCAACAGAATAATTGTATATACAACATTTATTTGGAGAAACAGTTTGTAACATGATGGAAAAGTGTGTAAAAGTATTTATAAAAAAGAAACTGTCTGATAGAGATGAAGGGAGTAGCAATGACAAGTGAATTGAGGAGTTATTGTCAATAATGATAGAATATGAAAGCAGGCGTATTGTATGTCAAGCTGTCTGGATCTAATCATAGTCCTCGATCAGCTGCCACCACCACTGATGTCTATTCTTTCCCTGTAAAGGGCAGAAAGGGAAACCTGGGCTAAACCACCCACCAGAGTGATGATCAGTCTCCAGCTAGTAGCACCCCTCTTGATCCACAGCAATGCTTCTTCTACAGCCTGGATGCTGTTCTCAGTGCCTCTCTTTTCTTGCTGTCCTCAAAGAACATTGTAATTAAGATACTGATCCTCTCTTCATCACTGTGAGTTACAACCTGCACTTGGTTTCAACAGTCAGACATTCAGATCAAACCTGGCCTGAGAGTCATCCTGGCGATGAGTTCCAGTCCTCCAGCTGCTTCCTTCTGTCAAGCTCGTTTCCCATTTAAGGGCCCTGAGCTCCATATGGGG